CCATGGAACCCTGGCTCAATCAGGGTAACCCTGCCTGGTTTGATCTCTGAAGCAGAAGGGCAGTGGTTTGGCCTCACGATGCCCCACACATCGACAGTGCTTTTGCCTGGAAATATCAGTGCCTTTGCAAAGCCAGATTCAGTCATCCACCTGTGCAGAATGTGGTCCACTGGAGAGGGTACACACTTCCTCATGGTGGGTCTGGGGGTGTCAGAGACACTGACCAAGTCTTCCCTAGGCACTAAGAAGGACCTAAACCCCTAATGTTAAAGTATCATATTATGTGAAGGATCTACTGTCATGGAGAATAAAACATTAAGAAATAAAATAAATGAATAAATAAATACCAACAGTGAGCAATGAGGACACAGTGATATTCCCACCCAGTAGCTATCAATCACTAGGCAGCAGAGATACCAGCTGCTGGTGCCCAAGGCCTACAGGCCACCTACCACAGACTCCTGGATAAAGTGGAGTTGACACTTTTGGAGAAATTGAGGCCTCTATACAACCACTCGACAGGTGACCAACTCCAAGAAGGATAAGTAAGGACTGATCACCAGGCTCAGACGAGAAGGGACTTGGCAAGTGTGATGGTTTGAATGAAAATGTCCCCATAAGCTCCAAGTATTTGGATATTTTTCCTACAGATGGTGGGGCTGTTTTGGGAGGTCTCAGAAGGTGTGGCTATCCTGGAGGAAGCATGTCACTGGGGGTGGGTTTTGAGAGTTCTTAAGCCTTGCAGGATCTCCAGTTTCTCTCTTACTTCCTGTGCCTGCTGGAAGATGTAAAGCTTAGCGTCCGCTGCTCCTCCTCCAGCCACCTCTGCCTCCATGTCTCCCTGCCAAGACAGACTATAGTTCCCCTGGAACTATAAGCTCAAATAAATTCTTCCTTTCATAAGTTTCTTTGGTCAGTGTTTCTATCACAGCAACAGAAAAATGACTAACACAGCAGTTGGTACCAGAAGTGAGCTGTTGGCTGTGAAGAACCTGACCATGTGGGGTTTTGGAAGAATGTGGAAGACTTTGGAAGCTTGGGCTAGAAAAGCTATTGATTGCTGTAAGCAGAGCTTAAAAGGCCATTTTAGTAAAAGCCCAGAAGAAAGCAGTGCTGAGAACAATGTAGTTCCAGAGAGAAACAAGGACTTAAGCAGCACGTGGGATATTTTGGCAGAGTCTAGATGGAGTCTGCCCCCAAAACAAAAACCTTGCCTGAGGCTAAGTTGAAAAGCAATGGATTAATTTCTCTGGCAGAAGAAATTTCAAGACAGCCTCATGTAGAAATGGTGGTGTGGCTATTAATGATGAATATTATGCAGATCTATGGGGAAAAAGAGCAAATGGGGCAGAAAGAAATACAAAATGTAAGGTTTGGATTGAAAAAGAGCACCAGGAAGATATAGGTTGGAGCCCTGGCATATGCTGGAGCAGATCACTTTGATAAGGAGATTAAAGGGATTAAGGAGGGGCCTAGAGATTTTCACTTCAACAGTGGAGAGAGTGCCTCCAGGAGATCACACCCAGTTAAGCCTTCAATTTGTGAAAAGAAAATGCTGCAGGGGCCACTGAAGAGAAAAGCTTCTAAAATGGATGAAGCAGGCTGGAGTCCTTCCCAAACTTGCAGTCAAACTTGGCAGTGTCATTCACCTGGTGCTGGCTTTAGAGGCATGACAGATGCAAGAGGGACAGGGTCATCAGTTCTTCCTCCTCGGTTTCAGAGAGCCAGGGAGCATGCAGCAGGGGTTCTCCTGCTTAGAGAAGGCCCTGATTGGCCACTGCATGAAGTTGTGAAGGTGAAGCCTGGTTGGCAATGGAGACCCCAAGAAGGAGTTCATGATGTCAGATCAGTGAGGCATCTGCCAAGACCTGCACACAGGGAATGGTACCAGCCCAAGAGAGAGATGTATGTTACATACAGCAAAGCTGGAGAGGCTGAGCCATCTAAGCCCTTTGGAAGTAAAGTCCCAGAAGTTGGATGTGGAGCTACTGGATTTGGTGTTTGTCCTGCTGGTTTTTGGTCTTGTTTTGATCCGGTATTTCCTCACTATGCCTCCATTCCTCCTTTTTGGAATGGGAATGTGTATTCAGTTCCACTGTATGTTGGGAGTATGTAATTTGTCTTTTGATCTTATGGGGGCTTATAATTAAGCAATTTCCCTGAGTCTCAGAAGGGACTTTGGACTGTGGACTTTAGTATTGAGAATAGTGTGACTATTTTGAATAGTATGACTATGGGGACTTTTAAGGTTGTACTAAATACATTTTGCATTTTATATGGAGCCTATGAGGGCCAGGGGGTAGAATGTGATAGTTTGAATGAAAAATGTCCCCCATAGGATCCAAGTATTTGGACATTTTGTCCCCAGATGGTGGCACTGTTTTGGGAGGTTTTAGAAGGTGTGCCTATCCTGGCACGTCACTGGGGGTGGGCTTAGAGAGTTCTTAAGCCTTGCTGAATCTCCAGTTTCTCTCTCGTTTCCTGTGCCTGAATGATGATGAGAGAGCTTAGCTTCTGCTGCTCCTCCTCCAGCCACCTCCAGCCACCATGCCTTCCTGCCAAGATGAACTATAATTCCCCTGGAACTGTAAGGTCAAATAAACTCTTCCTTTTATAAGTTTTGGTCAGTGTTTCTATCACAGCAACAGAAAAGTGACTAATACAGCAAGTAAGAAAGAAAATGCCTGGAGAGCCAAGATGGCGGCAGAGGCAGCTCTTGGCAAAATGTGACTCCATTAAGAAAATGTGTCATCATTGGCTCACCCTGGCCAAGGAGAAAGACCTGAAAACTGCAGGCACCAAAAATACCAAACCAAACCAAACAACAACAACCCCCCAAACCTTGATTATGAAACAACAACCCATGAACCATCTCTCTCCTTGAGTAAAAGCAAAAAGTGATATTCCCCAATATTGATATTCATTTAGTGAGAAATTCAAGCCAGCAAGTCACTGTTGCCGCTGTTTGCTGCACAGAAGCTGCTCTATCTTAAACACAAGTATAATCATGTGGTCTGAGCAATGGAGACGGGACAAAAGTGGGCACCAGTTTAGTTGAAATTATGACGCCTCCTGTGATCCCTTCCCGTGCGCCTGAAGTTGTGGCTGTCTCCCGTGGGCTGGAGCTGTGGTTCCCTCCTGTGAGCTGAAGCTGTGGTTACCCTCTGTGAACCTGGAGCTGGGGTCCCCTCATATGAGCCTGGAGTTTTGGTCCTCAATAGTGAGCCACAGTTCCACATTCCTCTGGTGGTAGTCTAATGGTGGAGCAGGCTGGAGGATGGAGGGCTTCCTCATTTGGGGCAGCAGTTTCAGCATTCTCTGAGTGACTGGACTCCCCACAACTGCCTCCCCCCAGGTCCCAGGATGTGCATGGCAGTGAATTTGCCTCTGTGTTGGACTTATGATGGGGCAGGGGAGGTCTCTGTCATTTGCAGATTCTAATCTTGGGAGGACTGGTTCTCCAGAATGGACTTCCACCTCCCTGAGGGCCAGCTATGGTCCGACTTCACCAGTGGTCCTGGACATCCAGGTCTTGATGTTGGACCTCTCTCATTCCCAGGCACAGAGGTTTTCCGTCAGTTTTCTATTTCTCTTCCACAGCCTCAGTGCACCTTCATCTGTGCCCTACAGAAAATGTAAAACACCCAGTTGAACTTCTAGAGATAAAAAATGCAGTCTGGGAAGTTTAAAAAGTAGTAACTAATCTGATATATTTCTCAAACTAAAATACATATAATTGTTTTAGAATATAACTCCACAGTTCATATCTTTACTATAATTTGTAAGTATTATTTACTGAGAAATTGTTCTACTAAGCTTCAACAATACTGTGAAACTTATCACTGTTGCTGTAATGTGAATTTGGCATTCACTCCCTGTCTAAATTCCTCAATCTAGACAATGTTTTTAAATGTAATCATTTTTTAAGCAATGCTAGTCATTTTTTTTAAACAATAGGAAACCCCCTATTGTTGGATTGGTTTGGTGAGCTAGGTCTTGGAGCAAGCATACATGAAGGTAGTGTTTCCTATGACACCTGAACTCCTTTACAGTGCAGTACCATAGGAATGATTCCATTTTGTATAATTAATTTTCACAATGGGAAATGGGGATGAAAAGAGGCAGGATTAGGAATTACATTTCTCTATCCAGTTATTCAAACAAGTGCTTACTCAACAAATTTCTTTTGCCAACCCTTGGGAAAAGTACGTAGACACTATAGTATAGGAAAGGTGAACATGTGTGTGTCCTAGGAATAGTTTGGGAAAGAACCTAATAGAATAATCCATTCTTTCCCTCAACAAATGTTTGCTATGCACATAGGTATACTCGATCAGATAATATTATAACAAAACATGTAAAGGCAATGTCTTTATGGGGTGAGAAAAAACAGATAAAAATGATCCCAAATTATGAAAAGTGATATGTAGTGATAAGGTTTATGAATTGGCGGCAGTGATGGACTCAGAATGAAGAGTTACATTTGGGGTGTGCATGAGAAATTTGAAAGAGAAACAGGTAGTTGAATTTAAGCCTGCAGTTGGGAGACAGGTAGAAAATGGAAATTTGTTATTTAGAATCAAGGAAATGAATAAAAGATAAAGTAATATATAGCCAAAAGGTGTAATTCTGGTTTATTTTATTTTATATTTTATTTAATTTTATTTTAGTCTTTTAGAGACAGGGTCTTCCTGTAGCCCCGGCTGAACTGGAACTCTCTCTGTAGACCAGGCTGGTCTTGAACTCACAGGACCACCTGCCTCTGCCTCCCGAGTGCTGGGATTAAAGGCGTGCGCCACTACACCCGGCAAATGTGTAATTTTGAACTTTAGCTCACATATAGGGAGAGACATGAACACCTACAGGTGAATTAGCAGCTTTAAAGAAATAACCTCGAAGAGATCAAAATGCTTGCGGGGCTCAGTCTCCAATGAGACTACATTTCCCGGAATGCTATTTGAACGGCACATGAGCCGGAAGTCGGTCCAGTCACTTCCGGCGCAAGTGGCCTCTGGTGGTCATGGCCGCCCTCAGGACTCAGGCGTCGCTCTGGAGGCTGCTGTCGGGCTCTCGGTGCGCACAGCGCGTGTGTAATCGGGAGGAAGCCCAGCCCCAGTCGCATGTGGTGCTGCATGCGCCGCCCCAGCCGGTTGAGGCCGGGCAGCCTTGCCGCAGGCTCAGCTCCGAGGCCGGTGAGTGGTCGGTCGTTCTGGAAGACTGCTTAGGCTTGCTTAGGCTGGGGAGAGCTGCGCGAGCCGCCGTTCTTCCCGTCCCGCGTTTTCGGGCTCGGTGGGCTTCCGTCTGTCCTGCCTGGAATATCGTCGCCCTCCTTTATCCATTCATTCGCTCCGGCCCTTGCAAAGCTTGTGTTTCTCTAAGGTTGGTAATACTGTAAGGCTGGCATGCGCTCTCCTAGCCCTATGGAGATTGACAGTGCACGGAGACCCGGGCTGCACTAGGGGACGTACCTCAGGGACTAGATTAGACATATAGGGATGAGTTCCAGGGAGAACGTGACCAAAGCTGACATCTGATTAACCATGCATGCTAAGGAGAAGACGAACATTCCGAGGAGAGGGACACCATAATAAGGAAAAGCGCGGAAAAGAAACCAGACACCCGTGTTCTGGAAATCTCTTTTGGAGTTAGAATTGGTTAAGGCCTGATTATGGCTTTAGGGTCTGAACTTAAAGTGGGGAGGAGGAATCAGAGCATCTCGTGTTTCTGGTGTAAGCTGTTAAGTGAAGAATATTGCCAGGCTGGAGAATAGTCATTGTAGTGGAGGCGGGGAGGGTTGCAGGAGTAGAGGAAGTGAGGACTTTGGAAAGGAGGCAGATTTATACTTGTGTAGTTGGATAGAAATTGAGGAACGTCGGAGTCAAAAACCAGAGTTGGTAGAGTTGGGCAAATGGGTGAGATTGTCTGAGGAGAGAGTAGTGCTGAGCACATGTGTGTTAGGCGCTTTAAGGGACTATGGGTGCCAGAGGTGAGTATAAAACAGGATTCTGGTCTTCAGAGAGCAATTAGACTTGTTTGTAAATGATGTGAGACGCCATTGATGAATTTTAAGCATGGGAATCATCTTGATTGCATTTTAATCACTGGGGAATGATTTGCAGTGAGGGCAGTAAAGAGGCAGGGAAGCTAAGAGATGAGGATGGCCTCCTCTAGAGTAATGACAACGGGCAATGGACTTTAAAGACATATGAGGTATATCAAGCTCTGTATTTAATGTTACTTTTTGTAAAGTGCAGATAATCATAGTATTGACTCTTATAGGGTTGTTGAGGAGCGAATATACTATGTTATGTGTTTAGCAGAGTAAATACCGGAACATAGTAAATGTCTCAAAGTTAACAGTTACCATTTCTGTCATTTTTATGGCTGATTTGGCTGGGTGTGGTGGGTAAGGAAGAAATCAGGAATAATTCTAAGACTTGTGGCCTGCATGACCTGGTGGGTAGAGCTATGATGCGGAATTTTAGAAAAAGCGGATAGGAGATAAGAAAAAAACTGGTGGGTGACGTGGCATTGTTGAATTGCAGGGGAGGTAGCCATTGGGTAGCTGGGTGGTAGGTGATCTTGACTAGAGATTGGAATTTTAGAGTTTCCAGCAGGTGAATGTAATGAAAGTCATAGCTCAGAAAGCACCCAGTGTATGAAAAGGGAGAAGAGAAAAACATTATAGAATCCTGCAGGACACCAACACCTACACCTAAAGAGGTGCAGCGGTCCTCCCCAAGGTCCTGCCCCGTAGGGACCTGCCACGATGAGGGTCAGGGAAAGGTGAGTGCGCTATTCACCTGTTTTGCCAGCCCTCCTCGCCAAGGACAATCAGACGTGACAGGGAGTCTTGTCAAGCAGGAACTCATTTATTGCAGGTGTCACAGAGCTTATATAGGCAAAAACTGCAGTTTGGAAATCCCCTCGGAAACCCCCTCCCCCGAATGCACCCAGTCAGCTTAAAGGTCAACCTGCCACATGGGCAGGGTCCCATAGGCGTCAATGATGATCACTTGCTGATCACGCACTGCCCAGGGGTGCATCCAATCTGATGATCTTCAGGACAGGTCAGGCCTCGCCCTGCTTACTTCCTCTAGGTGCCATCTTGGCAAGGCGGGGCCTTTAGGTCCCCACAAAGAGGGAAAGAGGAGCCTGGGGCAGGTGGCCTCTTTTCCTAATAGACAGAGAATGAGGAGTCAAAGGAGGGAGAGCATGAGGGGAGTGAGATTAGACTGGAAGTGATTGAGGCTCCAAAACCACAGAAACCCAATACACCTCTTCTAGTTTGTTTCTCCATCGCAGTGGCAAAACACTCTGACCGATACCAACTTAGGGAGGAAACGGTTTATTTGGTTTACATCTTCGGGGTCACAGTTCATCAGGGAGCCCAAGGCAGGAACACAGGGGAGGAACCTGGAGGCAGGAGCTGGAGCACAGGCCATGGAGGAACACTGCTTACTGGCTTCCAACCCTGGCCTCTGCTCAGCCTGCTGTCTTACACAACAGAGGCCCACCTGCCCAGGGGTGGCGTCACCCACAGTGGGCTGGGTCCTCCCACATCACTCAATAATCAAGAAGATGCCCCACAGACATGGCCACAGGCCAGTCCAATGGAGTCATTCACCAGTTGAGGCTCCCTCTACCCAGGTGTGACAAGCTGACAACTAAAGCTATCCAACACAACACCTATTCTCTGATCCCTAATAGCTAGTTATCTTCAGGTTTGCACCAGCACCCTGGTTATACCACTCCTTGGCATATACCCAAAGGACTCATCCTATTGTAGAGACACTTGTACAACCATGTTTGTTGCTGCTTTCTTCACAATAGCTAAGAGACGGAAGCAACCTAAGTGCCCCTCAACTGATAAGTGGTTAACAGAAATGTGGTATATTTATACAACGGAGCTCTATTCAGCAGTAAAGAAAGATGAAATAATGAAATTTGCAGGTAAATGGATGGATCTAGAAACTGTTATACTAAGTGAAGTAACACAGACTCAGAAAAACAAATGACGTATGTTCTCCCTCATATGTGGATCCTAGCACCAAATCCTTTTAAATTCCAGGTCTTTAATAAGGTGATGCTATACAACAGCCCCTTCTGCATGAAATAACTGCCATCATCACGACTTCAGCTGTGCCTGATTGCTAAACATCGTCACGATTGGGCTTGTTGACAGTTGTGCTCATTCATTAAAGGAGGGCCAAGCAAGGTCATTGGACCCTTACTGGAGTATCCAGCCACTCTTCCCAGCCAACTGTATATAATTTGGACCTAATCACACATGGCCTCCTGTATTTGGGGAGAGCTAAAGTATACAATCTACAGAAGGCTAGGAAGAGAAGGCATGACCCATGCTGAGTAAAGGCTTTCCAGTGTGCATACCCTCAGGTCATATAGTATTTCTCAGCTGGGTAATGATCAGCTTAATTAATTTATTTTTTGGTCTTTTTGAGACCAGGTTTCCCTATGGCCCCAGCTGGCCTGGAACTCACTATGTAGACCAGGCTGGCCTTGAACTCACAGAGATCCACCTGCCTCTGCCTCCCAAGTACTGGGGTTAAAGGTATGCGACACCACACTTAGAACTTGTAATGCTAATTACTCTTGCCTTTACTTCTCCTTCACATCTCCTAGTCAGGATTCAAGGCCTTTCTTTTCCCCCTAGAGATAAGAGTTATGCAATTTGGGAGTCTTTTAGATAGACCCACTGAAAGGGCACCCCAATTGCCTCACCCTGCATCCCTGTTCAGCATAGAAGAAGCCAGAGTGGTCTGTGTACCTATTCCCTATTGGCAATTTGGGAAACTCTTCAGAGGGTGGCATGATAAGAACAGGAGGTAGGAATTGGCTACGCAGTTAGGGTAAAAAGACCCCAAAGAAATGTAGCAAGTTTCTTGGCTAAAACTCACAATGTCCTTGGGCCTCTTAGCAACCTACTCCGTTCCAAAGGCCAAAAATGTCAAAAATATTTGGGAGCTTTTATCTAAACCTTAAAAGATTTTAGGGTTACCTCTTCAGAGGGGGGACTGTTAGAGTAGCCAAATACCCCATAAAAATAAATAAATGAAAGAAGAAAAAAGAAAAGGAAAAAAATGATGGGGAGATATGGGAGGTGTTGGAAGGGAGCGAGTGGGCACAGATTTGATCAGAACACCTTATATGCATGTATGAAATTCTCAAAGCTTTTGTAAAAGTTAAAAAAAAAGTGACTTGTTAGTACCTATTTTGTGGGTGTGTTATGTCTGGCTTAATGGAAACATCTGAGTGCTGGGATGTAGCTTACTGGTGAAGTGCTTGCTTGATTGTGTAAGGTCCTGGGTTCCAGCACCTCAAAAATAACTTAGAAAGATGAGACAAGTCTGTAAAAGGTAATAATATTTATTTTCATTTTTCATCTTGCTTCATTGTAGACTGTCATTTGGGCAGACTATGTCATAGTGAATGTTAAATTTTAAATGCAAGTTGAATGATGAAAGAACCGTAGATATTAATTAGCATTTTTCAGTTTGGAGGTATATTTTGTACAAATAGTTTTTTATTGTTAACTCTCCAGTTTAGAAATCTTGGCTTGTTATTGTCAGCTTCTTATTAATGAAATCCATTTTGGCAGACTCTGGTAGCTCAGAGGTCAAGAAACCCACATTTATGGATGAGGAAGTCCAGAGTATCCTTATCAAGATGACAGGCTTGAACTTGCAGAAGACCTTTAAGCCAGCTCTACAAGCACTGAAGCCACCAACCTATAAGCTAATGACCCAGGCACAGTTGGAAGAGGTATGTCAACATGGGAATGTTGGTAAAATAAGGAGTTAAACAAGGTTTTCAGCGTCCCCTGCAGTTGCTTATTGCTATTCCTCCATAGGTACCCGTGAGGGGTTGGACCAGGCACAGAACTGGGAAAAGAAATATGAGTAAGCAGGCAGAGAGGAGCAGGGTGTGACCATAATAAAGCAAGCTGCAGTCAGGTCTGGGTGTCCAGGGTAAACCTCCTCCCTGCCCCCAAACCAGCCTGAGCATCCCTCCCTTTTCCTGCCTGATCCAGCTACCTTCCTGGAGAAATATCCACTGGTAAAATGAGAATTTGCTGAACAGCATTCTACTCCAGGCACCTGAGTACTGAGTCCTTTGTGCAGTATAGTTTGATGTTTGATTATGTAGACATTAACACTATCCTAACTCACAATTTTTTGTCATGGCAGAAAATTCAGGTATCAGTAGTTTATCACACGAAGAGTGTAAGTTCTTTTCACCTCTCAAAGGCCACCACTCCAAAGAGCGTAGCACAAAGCAGTGTAGTCAGTGGCCAAGAGTGTGGGCTCTGAAGTTGAGTTCAGATCCCAGAGCTGCAACTCAATGCCTAACCTCTGTGTGCCTGTTTTCCATCAAATAAACATGATAATAATAGCACCTGGCTCTTGTAGGTGTGGGGCATTGAGTAGAGCAATACATGGGATATCTGACATGTGGCCACAGTAAATTCAGGCCTTTTACTCTGCTTTGGGCAGCTCTTACAGCCGGGCACTGTCATACAATGTTCCTTTGCTGTTCATATAGTGTAAGTTGGTAACTGGTGTTCGCAGCCTTACCATGGGTAAAGGCTCGGCCCCTCGAATCCAAGTTTGGCTTTTGACTCACTGATTCATGGCTGCAGTTTCTTTTCTTTATAGTCACAGCACATTTCAGGGCGGTGGGGGGGGTCTGGAACTCTTTATGTAGACCAGGTTGGCCTTGATTGCAGAGATTTGCCTGCTTCTGCCTCCTTAATGCTGGAATTAAAGGTGTGCCACCACGCCTGACTCTCATCAGCATTTCTGATGAGTCTGTTTTTATCAGATGATACTTTTGGACAGTAGCATTGAGACTTTCTTTAAGAAATATTTTTATTTCATTAGGCTACCAGACGGGCAGCTGAGGCAGCTAAAGTACGGTTAAAAATGCCACCAGTTCTGGAAGAACGAACACCCATAAATGATGTATTAGCTGAAGATAAGATTTTGGAAGGAACAGAGACAGTCAAATATGTGTTTACTGATATATCATATAATGTACCACATCGGGTGAGTATATGCCAGATTGCAAAATGAAATATCTTGTGGAGATGGGCCTGAGGGATGGTGGGACATCCCTCTCAGAGTACCTGTGACTGGAACATAAAATGTGAGGAGGTGAGAAATACCGACCATTCACATCACAGTGCTACTATTTCCTCACTCACTGTGGACTTAGTTGACACCAGAGACATGTAGTGAGACAAAACAAGGTGGGCAAGCCAGACAGAAACATACCCCAAACCCCAAATTGTGGACAGTGGGAGAACTTCTTTTTACCTAAGCTATACTGATTTTCTTTGCTGAAACCTTTGGAAGAAGGTTGAGTGTTTTGGTTGCTTTTTCGTGTGTGGATACGGGTATCATGGCATCTTGTTTTTCTTACAAGTTTTAAAAATTCTTTGAGAGTTTGATATGTTTACAGTGAATTTTACTCATTTTCAGCTCCATTCTCTCCCCCGCCCCTTCATTCCCCTTCTGTTGAAATCTTTGTTCCCAAAACCTCCTCCTCTTCCATGCTTTTCCATGCTTTGTGTGTGTGACTCACCAGGTTAATTAGGGCTGCTTGTGTGAGGGTGGACAGGAGGTTATTTTCTGAAGCATGGGCAGCTTATCAGTGCATACACCACTGAAGAAAGTGACTCCCTCTCCCCAGCAGCCATCAACTGCAAGTAGATCCTCAGGAATGGGTGAGGCCTCATATGTCCCTCCCCATCCACCATGAAGCATTGCCTGGCCAGGTCTTGTGCTTGTGCAGGTCATATGCAGTTACCACAGGTGCAGTGGGTTCACGAGTGCAGCAAGCATGCTATTCCAGAAGACAGCTTTTTGTGGCACATCTGCCCGTCTTCCAGCTCTTGCATTCTTTCTGCCCTGCTCTTGTCACGTTCCCCGAGCCTGGGAAAAGGGTAAAGACGCCCGTTTTAGGACTGAGCAAGATGATGTTTTTAGGTATTTTTCAGTGATGCTGAGAAACTCAAACTTAATAATGGATTTTCACTTTTCAAACTTTTCAGTAAGACTACTAGAAGTTTCTAGGGTAATTTTCAGACATCACTGCTTCTGTTGTAGTTTGTATTCTCTGAATCTTTTTCTCTTCATTGCCAATTTAAAAGAGCATGCTGCCATTTAAAAACAGTCAGTTTTGTATTTGAGCCTTGCAAGTGAAGAATAAAAAGAATAATTTGCTGGTTCAGCCCCCACAAACTACATTTAAATACTATAGAATACAGAGTTTAGAAGAGTGACCCTACATTAATCACCCTTTGAGCATATGTGATTATGACTAGAGGCAAGATTTTAGCTGTGTTTTTATTTGCACCAGCTTCTGGTCACATGGCATCCATGGTCCAGCATAGAGATGAATGCTGATGCTCAGCTCAGTTGCCCTTTTTTATGCAGTCCAAGACCCAGCCCATGGAATAGTGCTGTTCACACAAGGGCAGGGCTTCCTGTCTCTGTTAACCTACTCTAGATACCTCAAAGGCATGCCTAGAGGTTTGTTTCCTAGGTGACTCTAGACCCTGTCACTCCAGTGGTGTTAACCATCACAAGAGCTGAACAGAAATCTTCACAACTCATCTTTGGTGATTTTCTATTTCAGGAACGTTTTATCGTTGTCAGAGAACCAAGTGGCACTCTACGCAAAGCCTCTTGGGAAGAACGGGACCGGGTGATACAAATTTATTTCCCAAAAGAAGGTCGTCGAGTTTTGCCACCAGTAATTTTCAAAGAAGAAAACCTTAGGGTGAGGCGAATTTGATTTTATATTCTAGACTGTGCAGATAATTTGTTTGAACACTTGGCTCTGGTGCTGCTGGGACAAATACTAATGCAGTGGTAACCTGACTAGGGCTCTATTACAGTTGATGTGGTTGGGATTTGAATCTGAGTGTGATATTTACCAAGCCTGTGTTGTTTCTGTATGCCTTTAGATGGGCACATAAGTGGCCTATGTGTTGATGAACAGGGCAGGTTCAGGACAGATGGGAAACTTTTGTCTTCTCATTTCATTCCAATTTTGCCATGTGGTTTTAGACCATGTACAGCCAAGACCGGCATGCTGATGTCCTCAATCTCTGCATTGCCCAGTTTGAGCCAGATTCCACTGACTACATCAAGGTGAGTATAGTTAATACTAAAATGCAGTTTAAAAATGACTATGAGCAAAATTCTCAATGTCACTTGTGTTTGGTTTCAGGCTTTGATACAGGGTATAGGAACGGAAATGGCTAAGAATTTATTGAGTACAGATATATGCCAGATGATTTCAACTGCCTTTAAGGATGAGGGAATTTAGGTTTAGATAGTAAAGTAGTTTGTAGAGATGCAGAGGTGCAGAGATGCAGAGATGCACTGCTAGCAAGTGGTAGAGTTAGGGCTCTGATGATGTCAAAGCAAAAGTTATTCACTAAAATTTGTGAAAGTACAGTCTGTGTGCTTTCAGCTTAGAAAGTATGTATTCAGTCATGCCTGGTTTTGTGTAGGTATTGGGCGTCACATAGCTAATGCTGTGAGCTAGGACAGAGTGTGCTGGGTCAAGCCCTGCACTCCAGCAATGATATGGAAAAATACTAAGAAATATGCAGGTGACTGTCACTCTGGGCCTAAAATGTTGGGTGCTAAAATGCTCTCAGGGAAGGCTTCATAGGCAAGGAACAGTGTGGAGTAGAAGTTTGGTGAACAGAGGTGTTTTAGTATGAGCACAGGCAGAAAACAGCCAAGTGGGCTTGAGACATGACCAGACATCCAGTTTGCTTTGTACAAAATGTGTATGTAGGAGAATGGTTCCGGTTTATACCAGAAAGGCAGATGGGGCTGTATTACAGGTGACCTCAATATTAGGTGATGAATATGATCTTCTTCAAGCAGTTTTCCAAAACCTTTTGGATAGGGCTGGGAGATGGACTCATGTGCAGACATGAGGACCTGGGTTCAGGTCTCCTGCCAGGCAAGTTAGCACATCTGTAACCCCTGGGCTGCCATGGGCAGAGACAGGCAGTTCCTGGGGGCTTGTTGGCCTACACACTCATTGTCAGGTGCATGCACACATGCATATGTACACACAAAACTTTTGGGCAGAACTGCCTTCAGCAATGTCCTCATTTAGGAAGATCATTCTGGAAGAGAAACTGAAGGAATGCAAGATGGAATGGGTGAACTGATGGGATTGAAGTAGTTGAGGCAATAAGGAGAAAGAGAATCAAAAAAAAATCTTGATTTCTTCTTTTCCCAGTGATCAAGAGGTGGTGGTACATTATCCAGTAGTCAAAATATATGAAATTAGTGCTTGCTTAAGAGTGCTGGGCTCACCTGCACTCGGGAGGCAGAGGCAGGTGGGGCTCTGGGAGACTGAGAGCAGCATGGTCTACATAGCGCATTCTCAGCCAGCTGGGGCTACAGGGAGACCTTGTTTCAAAAAAAAAAGAGTGCTTGGCTGCTGAAGAATAATTGGCAAAGTTATAAGTATTTGCTTTAGGCTGCCACACTCTGCAGTAGGGCTGTCATCCAGACAGATTCTCCTTTTGTGCATGTGTACATGTGTGCTTATGTGCATGTAGGTAGGTCAGAGGACAACTTTGGGTGTCATTCGTCGGGTACCTTCTGCTTTGCGATGGGCTTTCATTGGCCAACTTCCTCCAGTTGGCTAGGCTAACTGGCCATTGAGCTTTCAAGGATCCACCAGTCTGAACCTCCCAAGTTGCCATCACAGAATACAAGCTAGGCCACCATACCTGGATTTTTGTGTGGCTTCTGGGATTGAACTCAGGTCGTCATGCTTGTGAAGCAAGTGCTTTACTGATAGCCACCTCTTTTTCCCTAAACTCTTTATTTGTTGTAGAACCCCTCTGCCCCCTAAGCTGGGTTATAAGGTCTAAATCATACCCACTAACCAAGGATAGAGAGGCAGCTACAGGCAGGCCTGGATGCATTCCCACTCTTTGTAGGGCAGAAGTCCTGCTAATCAGTCTGAACTGTACAGTGTTGCTTACCTTTGATTTTCCTGCATTTTATGTGGCTAGGTTCATCATCAGACATATGAAGATATAGACAAACATGGAAAGTATGACCTTTTACGGTCAACAAGACACTTTGGAGGAATGGCTTGGTATTTTGTAAATAAAAAGAAGATTGATGGTTTGCTCATTGACCAGATTCAGAGAGACTTGTAAGTAGGATCTGAAAAATTAAACATTATTGCCCCAACAGTAAATCAGCATTTTCTCAAGGATAGTATCGAGTGATAAATGGAATTTTTCACTTACTTCTGTTTGTCTGGATTTGTTTTTTGAGTACAACATAGTTCTTCCAGGCTCTTGTGTTGGACAACCTAGCAAAGGGCTAGATTCTTGGGAAAAGTACTTGGCTTTGGATCTTAACAGTAGACTAAGTATTGACTTTCCTGTGCTTGCTGGTGCTCCTGGGTGAACTTTCCAGATATGAAAGGAGATAAAGATTGTAAAGAAGTAGACATAAGTTCTGCTGGGTGCCTATTTTCTGGCAGAACTATTTATAGGGCTTTCCAGCAAACATCATTTTAAAAAATATTTTTATTTGTGCGTCTGAATGTATTGTCTGCATGTATGTGTGCCCATGCTGTGCAGTGCCCACGGAAGTCAGAAGAGAGCATCTGATCCCCTGTAACTGGAGTTACGGACAGTTGTTAGCCACCATATGGGCACTGGGAACCGAACCCAAGCCCTCTGCAAAAGTAGCCAGTGCTCTTAACTACTGGCCATCTCTCCAGCCCCTCCAGTCAACATCTTTAACTTCTGTGTTTGATAGCCCCCGCTTTTGGAAGATTCCTAAGGCATATTAGTCAGGGTTCTCTAAAGAAACAGAACCTGTAGAATGGATATATATGCAAGGCTGGATGTCTCAGTAGTCCCGATCTGGCACTGAAGGTCTGACAAATTCCAAAAGATCAGCTAGTCTTCAGTGTACAGCAGCAAGATGAACTCACCAGCAAGAGAGAAGGCAAGCAGCAAGAAGCCTGGTGTTCTCCTCTACCTTGGCCTTTTATACCAACTGCCATCAGAAGGTAACGCCCACTAATAGGGTGTGTCTTCCAGCTTCAGATGATCCAGTCAAGAAAATCTCTTTCATTTCAGTTAATCCCAGAGCCAGTCAAATTGACACCCAGGATTAACCATCACGTCCACGCACCATCGTTCTTCCCAAGATTGCTCCCTTTCCGTTTCTTAGGCGGTTCAAAAACTTAGTGGAATGACTTGTTGAAGAAATTTTAAAAGGTGCCTAGTAAAAGGTACTCAGTAAATGCTAGTTGTTATTTGTTACTTCTATCATATTTTTATCTTATGTGTATGAGTGTAGTGCCTGCATGTATGTAAATGCTCCTATGTCATGCAGTGACTTCAAAGGTCGAAAGAGGGCATCGGATCCCCTGGAACTGGAATGGTTGTTAGCTGCCATGTGGGTGCTGGGAATTGAACCTGGGTCCTCTGTCTGCAAGAGCAGCCAGCTCTCTTAACCACTGAGCCATGTCTCCAGTCCACTTCTTCCCATTTTGTAGGCTGTCACTTCACTCTGCTGACTTTTTGCTTTGCTGTGCACAAGCCTTTTAACTTCATGCAGTTCCATTTGTCAGTTTTTAGTTGTATTTCCCATTTGTTGTCCTGTCTGGATTGGGTTGTTGCAGTTTCCCATTGACCTTAATCACAGGACATGGTAACACCAGAAGTCGCCCTAAGGAATCTCCTGCCTTCCAGATATTCATTACCTCCATTGTGGAGAACCAGTCCAATTTCCCCCTGTTAGTCTGGATCAATCGCCCCTTCTAAAACTGTTATTCCTTTCTTAGCCTGCTGACTTAAGGGTGTCAGAAGCCCAAAGTGTCCAGGGGGAAGTCTTCGCTTCCAGTTCAATGGAATGTTTGTTGTCTCTCCTGGCAGAAGCACTCCTTCCTCTGGAACCAAAACATCCAAGCCAGTAGAGTGCAAAGTCGAGGGTATAGGAAGCAAAAATTTTCTAGTGGTCACTAGGGGTGATAGTGAGTGGAATTATTCCCACTTCCATCCCTTGATTCCTGGACCTGTGAATCCTGGCTTTACAAGAAATTGTACCATATATTGGACACTGATTCAAAGCATACACTGCCTTCTGAAGGACCCTGCCTCAGCCCTCCAGGCTATTGCCACCTAACTGGCACTGTAACTATGTCTTTAAGAAGCCATTCCATCCTTCTGTCAAGCCAGCTGATGGTGGGGAACAGGGTAAGACCAGTGGATTCCATGGCCATGGGCCCACTGTTGCACTTCTTTGGCTGTGAAGTGAGTTCCCTTGTCAGAAGCGATGCTGTGCAGAATAGCATGACGGTGGATAAGGCATTCTGTAAATCCCTGGATGGTAGTTTTGATGGAAGCATTACGTGCAGGGAAGGCAAATCTATAACCACAATAAGTGTCTATTCCTGTAAGGACAAAATGCTGTCCCCTCCAAGATGGAACTGGTCCAATGTAGTCAGCCTGCCACCAGGTTGCAGGATGGTCACCATGGGGAGCAGTGCCATATTGGGGCTCATTGTTGGTCTCTGCTGTTGGCAGATCTGGCACTCAGCAGCAGCTGTAACCAGGTCAGCTTTCGTGAGTGGGAGTCCATGCTGTCAAGCCCATGCATGACCTCCATCTCTGCCACCATGGCCACTTTGTTCATACACACATTGAGCAATGACAGGGATAGCTAAAGAAAGAGGCTGACAATTCACAGAGCAGAGGACAAAACGCTGTCCCCTCCAAGATGGAAGTGGTCCAATATAGTCAACCTGTCACCAGGTTTCAGGCTGGTTGCCACGGGGAACAGTGCCATATCGGGGGCTCAGTGTTGGTCTCTGCTGTTGGCAGATCTGGCACTCAGCAGCAGCTGTAGCCAGGTCAGCTTTCGTGAGTGGGAGTCCATGCTGTCGAGCCCATGCATAACCTCCATCTCTGCCACCATGGCCACTTTGTTCATGGGCCCATTGAGCAATGACAGGGATAGCTGAAGAAAGAGGCTGGCAGTCCACAGAGCGGGTCATCCGATCTACTTCATTACTGAACTCATCTTCTGCTGAAGCCACTTTTTGATGAACATTTACATGAGACACAAGTATGTTCACATCCTTTGCCCATTTGGAGAGATCTATCCACATACTTCTTCCCCAAATGTCTTTCTCGCCAGTTTTCCAATCATGCTCCTTCCAAGTCCCTGACCATCCAGCCAAACCATTGGCTACAGCCCATGAATCAGTATACAATCACACTTCTGGCCATTTCTCCTTCCACCATTATCCCATACCCTTAAAATCCATTCCCAGACATAGTCGTTGGATTTGTTTGAAAGAATTAGCAAATTCCCTAAGTTCTTTTGTGGTGAAGCGTATCTCCTCATGGACCACACTTTCTATCTCTCCTCTAGGGGCCTGCTTAGCTTTGAGTCTGGTTATAATAAGGTCTAGAGGCAACAGTAACTGGGCCCTGAGGGACATCAGCTTCGTCTTGCTAAATGGGATTAGCTTCCTCAACGGGATTAGTTGCCTTAGGCAAGGGTGGGGAGGGTGGGTCTGCTGAGGGTGGGGCAATTAGTTCATCAGGTGAATCAAATTCCTCAGCCTCCTCAGAGTTCTCCCACACATCTCCATCCCACGTCAGAATTCCAATCTCTTTCTACCAATGCCCGCACCTTTACTGCTGACACCCTTCGAGGCTACGTTGTAGGTCAGCCAAACGTATAATAAGGGCTCCAGCTTGATTTTCTGCAGCTTTAGCTCTCTGGCTGCTGGAGAGAAGATTCTCTTCCAAGGCACACTTGGAATCAACACAAAAGAAAAAAAAAAAGACAAAAATAAATACTTTTGTTCAAAGAAAATGTACTAAAGTATTGTATTAGTCAAGGTTCTCCAAAGAAACAGAACGGGTAGAATGAATATGTATGTATAGGGGTTTATCAGCTTAGCTCACAGGATAGAGTCCGAGCAGTCCAACAATGGCTGCACCACACTGGAGAGGCTGAGAATCCGAGTTGCTCAGTCCACAAGGCTGGGTGTCTCAGTAGTCCCAACCTGGTGCTGAAGGTCTGACAAATTCCAAAAGATCAGCTAGTCTTCAGTCTACAGCAGCAAGACGAACTCACCAGGAGAGAGAAGGCAAGCAGCAAGAAGCCCAGGGTTCTCCTCTGCCTTGGCCTTTTATACGGGCTGCCATCCGAAGGTAAGGCCCACATTTAGGGTGTGTCTTCCAGCTCCAGATGATCCAATCAAGAAGATCTCTTTCATTTCAGTTAATCCCAGATCCAATCAAGTTGACACCCAGGATTAGCCATCACACATCAGAAAAGTTATTTTCAAAGTGGTATGAAGCAAAGAATGTCTGTTGTATTTTTAGCATCAAGTTGATATGCTTCCAAATGTCTAGCTGAAAATAATATAAACGCATGTAGTCATATTGTACTTTGCAAGTAACATGTGCCTTTACAAACTGAAGGCTGGTAACCTGAGTTGAGTGAGTTTACTGATGCCAATTTTTTCCCCAGGTAATTATTAGTATTTTGTAACAAAAGTACTTCAATGTAGATATGTATATATTTTAAATAATATATTACATACTCAATAGACTGCTATATAGCTTAAAAATAACTATGCTGGGAAATTTAAAGTCATATGGCTTTTTTTATTGCAGTGGGTAGGAACCAAACACAGTATTTCTGACGTTTATGTGTAGTATACAACTTGAAATAAAATTGGAAAGAACTGTTTTGCACATGAGATGAAGAAAGCCAAACCCACAAGGAAAGGGACTAGGGTGGTCATTGTGGGAAAGCCCACTTTCCACAGAAAGCTTGTGTTGGACTAAAGTTTGAATAAGAGAATTTAGTAATTATTCTTATCCTCAGACTATTAGGAATTTTGACTCAGAGTATCTTACTTGCAGTTTGAGGAATATACACAAAGGTAAGGCATTTGGAACCAGGAGGTGCATGTCTAAGAAACGCAGCCCCATGTGTAGAAACTGCATCACTTGGAACAGTGTTCCTAATGGGCGTGATTTCCAGGCCAGCTCGCTCCACCAGTATGTGTAGTATAATTCAGTTCAGAAGGAGAAATAGTTTTTCATTCCCCATAGGCAGGGGGCCAGTGGTTATGGGGATGTTCAAAAGGGATATGTCTTTCTGTGTGTATTTGACCTATGAATGAACTACTTAATGTTTCCAAAAGGCAGTCATTCTAAACTTACTAAATAATGCTCTTCTAGAGCATTAGAGCAACAGAGTTGTTTAGTTTTGAATACTAAAGCTGTCTGTTGGCATATAGTAATATGTGGCATTATATTAGTACTCCTTATCATGTGTAAACTTTACATCTGACATGGTTCATGCAGTGAACAACTGCAGATCTCAGACTGGGCAATAGAGGGAGCATTCTTTACTGGATAAGACCAAGGTGTCAGGAGTTCATACTCTTTTAAGGTATTTTTGAAAGTAGAAATTTGCTTATAATTTTGAGTGTAGAGTGGACGTTTAGATACATATGAATTATTAAGTGGGATACAGGCATCACATTTCAGCATGAACCTAATGAGCCCAATCATAAATCTGACATATAGAAACCCCAGAGCCACTGTGCCTGAGCTCTAAAGGGAAATGCTTTGTCTTTTATTTGGAGACATATTTACCTTTATTGAACTTCATTAGATTATAATAAGGACAATAAACATGTAATGGCCATTTCCATTTATTTTCCCCCAGAAAAGCTTTTACTGTCTGAGATGTGGCTTGTTTTCTCTAGATGTCTTTTAGAGTGGATGGGCCCTTAGGGGATAAGCCCAGAGCATTTCCTTGAGGTCGCTGTGGCCTGAGGTATTCTTTCCTTACACTGTCTCCCAGCTCAGGTAGTTGGAAAGTGTGGACTGGAGAGTTAGTGTCCTCATCCTCC